TGTCTCAGCTTTGGGTGAGCAACCTGCAGCACTGGCAGGATTCTGTGCCTCTGTTCCTTCCACACTGCAGCCCAGCATGTGCCTTTCCTGGTAGGTCTTTATTCTAGCACAGTCCTTCTCTCTTTCCCAAGGGATCTGGCAGCTTCAGCATTTCTTTAGGGCTGGAATAACTTTATCTGGCAGGAGTCTCTTAATTTAAGTGTCTGAAGTCCTTGGGAGGATGGGAGGTCCTCTACTGGGGGCCTAGTGAGCAAGCTCAGCACAAACATCCCTCTGCATTGGCTCCCCAGGGATGGAGGTACTGTTCTGAGCAAGTGGGTTTGGGCATATCCACATGCACAAGGCTTATGTCCTCCTCCTAGCCCAGGACTGGCCTTACCAGCCAGGGCAGAAGTACCTGTAGTGCCCTGTCTGCTGCAGTAAGCCGGGGTTGAAAGCATCAGCAGTGTCCTGCCTGGTGCCTTCACATGGTGGTGAACTGTAGAACTGTCCATCAGCTTTCTCTCTCCCACCCATCTGAAGTTGTCATTCACTGGCTGAGCAGAGCTATCCAAGAGGGATTATGGGATAATCTGCATAATAATATTGGGGAGTTAGTCAACTCCTGAAGAACATCTGAGCAGCCAGCTATAGGCCGTTAAGTGAATACAAATTAATATGTAATGTAATGAATATATTTTAAATAAATGTCAGGAGTAGGGCTCTGAACACCCATCTGTTGAACTTCTTTCCCAGTGCACCACCTCTCTTCTTTTGGGAAAACATGCTGGAGTTCTTCCCCAGGTGCCCTCTCCCAGCAGTATAAAGCTGTATTTCTTCCTTAAATACTGCATATTTGTGTGCTTGGTGCAGAGGAGGAATCCTGCAAGGGGAGATGCAGCTGCTTCTCTGTGGGAATATCATCTCTTTGAGCTCCTTTCCTGGGCTGTGGTGTGCAGGTACCTCCCTCTCAACCGTCCCTGTGTGGTGTGGGTTGGTTTGTGCAGCTTTCCCAGGGAGCAGCTGGAGCACAAAACCTGGGGGAGTGCAGCTCAGCAGGTTGCAGCCAGTTTGCTTGAACCTGAAGCTGAGTTCCTCTTGCTGCAGGTTGTGGAAAGACATAAGGGTGGCAGACAGGCCAGGGCTCCCTGCCAGTGTGCTTGGGAAGTCCTGCATTGGTTTCACGTGGCTGAGATGGGAAAGGTCTACTTGGCAACCACAGAGGCTTAGAGGCTGCTGTGTCCTGTGTATATTTAGTTTTAAACAAGTTCTGGAGGAGGGGAAGGCTTTTGCTTGAGAAAGCATCCTGTTGCTGGGAGTGCCCTGCAGCTGAATCACCATCAGTGTTTGCTTTGGGTTGTGGTCAGGTGTGCAGAGACAATGTAGATCTGGGGAAGGGGCTGAACGGAGGCAAGGAGCCCTGTCCTGCCTCATCTTCCTGTAGGTGAGATGTGTCGTGTGGGGCAGAGCTAGGGATGGGGCTCAAATCCCAGAGTTTCTGTGTTGGGATTCATCTATAGCATCATGTCATCCTTCTCAAGTTATCTGTTTGCCTCTGCAGTTCTGGGTGCTCAGAGAAGAAACAATTGTCATCTTGTCCCCTGGGTGAAGTGCTTAGGGATTGGCAGAGGAAGGAACCTGGGCCCAGGTTGTCCCTTCAGCTGGGTGCTGAGTGCATGTGTCAGCACCTCATGTCCCCTGGGGTACTGTGCACCCGGGCTGGTTGCACCCTGCTGCAGTGCTTTGCAGTCATGCTTTGGTCTTTGTGGGCATCTGCTGGTCTCCCCAGAGGGTAACTGATGGGATTTCCAGTTAGCAGTGGATTTTTCACACTTCGGATTAACTTCAGTCACACCTACCTACAGTTCTGGTCTGGGAGAAGGGGCTTCACGCAGGGCACGTGTGTCATTGATTTGGGGGAGGCATCTCAAGGCTGGGAGTTTCAGTTCCCACTGTGCAGTTGGGAGAAGGGACTTCACGCAGGGCACGTGTGATTTGGGGGAGGCATCCCAAGGCTGGGAGTTTCAGTTCCCACTGTGCAGGGGAATTTGTAACATCTGTGTTTCTGGGTTTTCATCCTCCTTGACATAGGGTGTTTTATCGACCATGGGAAAAAACTGCCTGTCCAGCTGTAGGAGGGGTTCAGACTGGCATCAGGGAATGCCTCTCGTGAACCAGTTTTGTTTCCATCACAAGTGATGGTGAGGAAAGGAAGAACCTTCTGCACGTAGACCTCACCGAGCTTTGCCGCCTCGCTGAGGCGAAGCTGAGTGTGACCCTCTGGCTGGAGGAACCTGCCACCTCCCCTGCTGTCCCCGTGTCCCACTTTGCTTACACTGGTATCATGTGTGAGCAGTGCCCTGGCCCACACCTTCTGCAGGACCAAGGTGACACATGTGCCTCTTCGCAGAGTCCAGAGGTGACAACTCACAGTACACTGAACCCAATCTTGGTCCCGAGAGCAGGGTGTCCTTGGGATCATCTTTCTCCATGGCTTCTCGTAGCTCTCCAAAGCCTACCAGTGAAAATGAAGGGTTTGTGGCATCTTCCTGGATGCTTTTGCAAGAGGCACTTGCTACCCCAAGCACTCGAATGGTAAATGCAGCCAGGACACACTCTGATCCTCATCCTGGGCCCTGGTAGGAGGACGTGTTCCTGTCCCCTGCTGCTAAGGGCTACTTTCTCCTTGTTTTTTTCTAACCATTGGGTGTCTTGAGTTGGGTATGGAACAGGAGGATTTTCAGAGCTGATGAGGACTCTTTTCTCCACTTCCCAGGATCAGTAGACCAGAGATCAGCATGCATAAAGCAGAAAACAGACTGGCAGGAGCTGTCTGATGGTCTTAAATGGTTATATTGTCCATCCACATGCTGAGGTCCAAGGGGAGAGTGTGAGTGCCACTGGTGTCTCACATTCACTGATCCAAAGGAGCCCTGCTGTCTCCCTTGGCCTGGGGAAAGCATTTCTGGTGGAGATCTGTGTGGAGCCTGCTGACCTACAGGCTGGGGATCTGCCTGGGTGTGCTGAAAGGTGGTTTACTCCCAATTGCAAAGGGCCTGGGAAGTTTGGTGTCCTTGGCAGCTGTGGCCAAGGCTGAACCCTGCCGTGCTGCATCTCCTTGCTGCATGGGCAGCACAGGAAGGCAGCAGCGTGCGGGGGAGAGAGCAGGGAGGGAAAGCAGAGGAGGGGCTCTGTGCACGCCCTGTTTTTGCAAAACCTGTGAGACACAGCTGGATAAGCAGTAGGGCTGACGCAGGCTGGAGAGGGATGTGGGGAGTGAGAAAACAGGGAATGGAGAATGGGCTGCAGCTTCGCATCTGCGTGTGCGAAGGGCGAGGAACCGGCACAGACTTGCAGGGCTTTGTTCTGGGTGGTAGCAGCTTTGCTGCAGGGCAAGGCTGCCTGTGTGGCTTGGGAAGCACGACTTGCCAGCCATGAGAGGCAGGAGAAGAAGGTGGGATGCTTGGGGAGACCCCATTTCTGACCCAAAGCCCAAACTTGTGCCCCGGGGCCCGCTGTGGGGCAGCCTGAGCTGGTTGGCTCTGCAGCAGGGCTGTGTGTGGAGCCTCTCCAGCTGAGCTGGGGCTGACTCATGGCACAGCAGTGACAGCCAAGTCAGGTCAGCCTGGCCTGGAGGGGAAGAGCTGGTCTCTGGGGACAGGAGTGCCGTCAAATCTTCCAGCTTCTCAGGCAAACAGCCTTGTCCTCTGCCTGCTGGGGTGACCTCCTCTGCCAGGCATGCCTTCCCCTCCCTGTTCCCACCCGCCACTGCTGCCTTCAGCTCTGCATCTGGAGGTTGCCAGCCAGGTACGGAGCAGATGGCTGAGCCAGCAGGGGAGTGAGAGCACGGGAAGAGCCACAGCCAGGCTGGGAGAGGCAGGCCGGGGCAAGCAAACCTCTCTTTGCTAAGCAGAATACTCAGCAGAGAGGATCTGTGGTAACCATGGCCGGGAGCAGCTCAGCTGGGCATCTGCAGCCAGCGTGATTCACAGGGAGTGAAGCAGCTCAGTTGGACACCAGAAGCACCCACTTTGGGGTTGGACTAGATGATCTTTCGAGGTCCCTTCCAACCCCTAGGATTCTATGATGATTCTCCCTGAGCAGGCTGTGGGGCTGGAGCTGCGCAGGGTTCCCACAGGCAGCAGAGCACCCCCTGCCCTGGGCTCTCTCTGTCAGGGCCAGCCGTGCTGGCTGCCCGCTCCCAGTGCTGTTAGCACTGCTGGGCTGCAGCGGCCGAGGGACTGGAGCAGGTTTTGGGATGTGTCCCCCAACCCCCAGTGTCTGCTGTGCTGCCAGCAGAGGCGATGCGGCCGCCGGTGCCCAGCCCGCTCCCTACCCGGTGCCAGGTGCTGGTTCTGGTGCCAGCAGGGCCCGTGGGGACCTTGCACCAGCAGCCAGAGCCACGTGGCTCTTCAGCTGCTGGCTCTGCAGTGCCCTTAGCCTCTCTGTGCCAAGAGGCACCAGGATATGCTCACAGCTGCTACTCCCAGCCCTGGCAGCTGTGGCAGAGATCTCTGATAAAGTCCCAGAGCTCTCCTCCTGGTGTCTTTTCATCTTGGGCTTTGTTTAGGGTATGAAAACAACCTGGCTCCCCCTCTCTGAGGGCTCTCTCCCTCCCTGCCCATGCACTGATGGAGTTTTTGGGCTGGGCCGGGGCTGGGGAAACCAAGGCACTGAAGCTGCTTCCCAGGGAGTCGGCTCAGCCCTGTTGCCACACACAGCTCTGCTCCTTGGGGAGCTGCTGGGCAGGCTGGAGCTGGCTGCGGGGGCCCTGGGGCTGCAGCAGAACCCAGGCAGCAGCCAACTGGTTTCCTGCTGCAGTTTGTGCCCAGAATAGGAGCTGTGGGCAGCCCATAGGGAGGCAGGGAGCAAGCTTGGTGCTACTTTCACGCTGCAGCACGTCCCTGGTGTGCTTTTCCCTCAGTGGCTTTGGGCTGTACCTTTCAGGGCACCCTGAACTTGGCTAGAAGCCCAGCAAACAGCACCTGGGAATGGTGGTTACCTGGGGACATCCTCCCTGCATGGCTTACACACCACTTGCCACTGACTTGCCCCCTTTGCTGCTCTTTTCCCAGTCCTCAGTATGCTCCAAGATCGTCCAGCTGCTGGGCCAGAACGAGGTGGATTATCGCCAGAAGCAGGTGGTGATCGTGAGCCAGGACAGCTTCTACCGGGTGCTCACCTCGGAGCAGAAATCCAAAGCTCTCAAAGGGCAGTTCAATTTTGACCACCCAGGTGAATGGAGAACAGCACCGGGGGCTCTGCCTCACAGCAGGGGGGAGAGGGCTGGAGCAGGACCCCCTGCTCCTTGCATGGACACTGGGGCTCTGTCTCCACATGAGGCAGGAGTAGTTAAGCTCTTCTGGAGCTCAGCACAGCCCTGGCAGGGTGGCTGGGACCTGT